TATCAGACTAGACGGTTTCCGTTGGTTATTCTCATCGGTCTCAGTACTCTGCTTTAGCTAATCATTGGCGGCAGGCGTTAACTGCCTTAATTTTGCTTCATAATTGTTTTCTAAATAAAGCTTTACTTTCTACAGGTTCTGACGCGTATGCTGTTCTCCTCTTGTCCCATCCTCTACTGGTATTGCGCTTCGATTCTTGTCGATGAGGACCTCTTTTCTCTGTCAAAAGACCGAAAAAATATGAAGCCGTTCTCCGTAGGACTCAGTATTTCTAGAATGGCTGCAATCCTCTCTCCAACCTCCTATCCGTCTACACACCAGAAAGTTCTTCTACTCTATTTCTATGCCTACATCCTTATTGGATGCATTATGCACCCAAACTTCCTCCCCTGGACCTGATCCACCCCCCCAGAAGATGGCTGTTATGTTTGTTCTAGTTACTTTTTTAATACTTTTTTAGTATCATAGTGCGCTAATAGTTACACTGTTATTTGCGTCTTCTTATCACCATTTTGTTGGTAGAGAAAAAGCGTACAAGAATGCGCCCTACCGACATTTCTTCAACCCTGGCATGTAGAGAGCTGTGCGATACCTGAAGTCCAAATACATTCCTGGAAATGCATCGCCAACTTCCGGTCAACTCTGTTTTGGTATTCTTCCTGTTCTACGCTTCACGGTTCGTCGCAATTGAGGTCTCTTACGACCCAGAACTGACAGTGAACCCGAGATTAAAATGGCTTTTCCGTCGATAGCCACGGCTTTCTGCAGGTATTACGTCATGGGAGGATAAAGCTAGCAGGCATGCTGCCAATTTTTCAAGCTACTACCGCTGCCTACTGGACCGCGTACCTCCATTATTTGGGGCATGTAAAAATCGCACATAGATTAGTCCCAGGTCCAAGTCCTTTTCACACGACATTCATAATGCTAGATCGTTGTCCATCAATAAGTCAATTCACTAATCACCTGAATACAAAGTCAGTCATAGTAAGGGTCGGGTTTGCACTTTGATTTAGTTCTGATCTCTACGAGACTCGGAAATCCTGTCTTGGAGAAAAAACGTATCATATGCGTTGGGGGAGAAGGGGGAAATATAGAAATCTATAGACCTATGTACAATACTAGGATGCTCGAAAAGTGGACGGTCTGGAAGTATGTACGCTCCGCGACTGTGAGATTACCAACTGATGGTTTAGATGACCGTTCACAGGATGAGCTGTGGATGCGAATGCGACACGGCAGCTTAAAAAACCGGCGACCAGAAGGTTTGCTCGTTTCCGAAAACGGTCCCTCGACTGTTCGTCACTTTCCGCTGCCTGAGCACCTCTAAAAGACCTAGTATACTAAGTTATCTCCCGGTGCAGGAACCGGCAGTTGGTATACCCGCGGTACACAAAACGATTAAACTTATTCGCGAGGATAAGCAGGTGGGAAGTGGTTAGAGTCAGTTGTTCTCGCAGGTCTCTATTTAGAGGATACGGAGTTGAAGGAAACGCCCGGGCTGTCATTTAAACGTGGATACCACGGACAGCCAAGTGGGACTACCTCTTATAGGACACATGCAACGTCCC